CTCTCTCTCTCTCTCTCTCTCTCTCTCTCTCTCTCTCTCTCTCTCTCTCGAAGAGACCAGAAGAGGGCATCTGATCCAATCCCCTGGAGCAGGAGTTACAACTCTGTGAGCACCCTGGTGTGGGTGCCAGAAACTGAACTCAGGTTCTCTGGAAGAGCAGCAAGTTCTATTAACTACTGAGCTATCTCTCCAGCTTCCCAGAATAGTGTCTTGACCTCTTGTACAAACCCATCTTAAGAGCTTATGCCATACTCTTACAAAACATACAGTCAACAAGCCTCTCAGGAGAACACTGGCCTGAAATACTACTAGTCTGAGCAGCTAATGGAGAAAAGAAACCTATCACACTCCCACGTCCATAAAACTGCCTCAGAGGGGAACTAACAACACTGTACCTAAATAATCACTGATAATCAGGGGGAAATTGAATAATGTTTTGAATGAGTATTATTAATATTTTGTGCTAGCACAAATATGGTATCTTTTAAATATAAAACTAATATTAACATTTGCATTTTAAAAGTCCACTCAAATGGCTGAGGAGATGGCTCAGTTGGCAAAGTGACTCTAATATCCATGTAAAGAAATTGGCCATAGTATGTGTGCCCAGAATCCCAGTGCAGGGGAGGCAGAGAAAGTTGAATCTCTGGCCTTCACTGCTCCGATGGCCAAGTCAGATTGGTGAATTCAGTAAAAGGGAAAGACCTTACCTCAAAAAAAATAAAAAAATAAAAAAATAAAAAATAAGGATTAAGGAGATGGTCCCCTGTATGAAAGTGTTCCTGTTCAACCTGAGCAGGAATTGTCCAAATTCCCAGCACCCATGGAAAAAGCCAGGCATAGCTATGGATGTTTATAACCCTAACATAGAGGAGTGGATCCCAAAAACATGCTGGGCAGATAGCCTCGCTGAAATGGTGAGTTTGCAAGCTTCCCACTTAGTGAGTGAGAAATTCTGTCTTGAAGCAGTAAGTCAGGGAAGTTACAGAAAATGACCCCATGTCCTGCTCTATCTTCTGCATGTACAAGCATGAACTCAGACAGACACACATATATGTATATGCCTCCCACAAGTAAGTAAGTAAGTAAGTAAGTAAGTAAGTAAGTAAGTAAGTAAGGTGGAGAGTGACCCAGTATTGACCTCAGGCCTCCACATACAAGCACACATGTGCACGTGAGTGGGCACAGCCCCACAAATAACACATGAAGCATGTGTACAGACACAAACACACTGTTGCTCAGAAGACAATGTTGGGCTAGCAAGATGGCTCAAAGGTTAAAGACACTTGCCACCAAGCCTGATGACCCAAGTTCAATCCCTAGAACCCATGGTGGTGGGAGAACCAACTCCCAACTGTTCCCTAATAGGTCTGCATCAGTGGTTAAGAGCACTTCCTGTTCTTGCAGAAGACTCAGATTTGGTTCCCAGAATCCACAAGGCAGCTCCTGTCTGTAAGTCCAGTTCCTGAGGCTCCAACAACCTCTTCAGACCTCCACGGACACTAGACATTCACATGGTACACATACATACATACAGGCAAACATACTCATACACATAAAATTTTTAAATATATTTTAAAATGTTGTCATCTGACTTCCACATGCATACAGTGGCATGTGCACACACACACACACACACACACAAATAATAAATATAGTTTTTTTTAAGAAATTAAAGAAGAAAATGAATTGTAGAAGCTGAATGATGTCTTCAAGGAGTTAACAACAATGTTTACTCTCAGGTGTTCAAAAGCTTTCCATTTTAGACAAAGCTTAAGAAAATCCTTGCTAAAGGATTAGTATGGCACAAAGAATAATACATAAGAGTTTGGCTAAATACCCATCAACAGGAATAAAAATATCACCAAAGAAAAATAAGTATATAATGGATTTTTTTAAAGTATCACATGAAAACAGTTTTTGTTTCTAATCCCAATATTCTATCAACTTGCCTTATATTCATGTAAGAATCTGCTTTGATAAACAGCATCCCACACTAATATTAGATCAAAGGATATGTTCTACAAGTTAACAAATTTCCAACTACACAGCCATCACACAAAGCCTCTTCCCATAACTAAACGTTTTGTGTTTGCTATTAAACTGTTGACATTTAATTGTTATTACAGCATTGGTTTTCTTTTATCATTTAGTTTATCAAACACTCAGAACTGTGCTTTCAAGACCCTACAGCTATAAAAATCCTTCCCGTGCACACAAGGCGGCAACACTCGTTGCAGCCAAGTTTACAGTAGCAGACAGACATCAGCAGCCCACCATGTCTTAGGAACAAGTGAATTGTAGATGAGTTGTTTGTATCTAAATATGTCCCTTTAAAGAGAGGCAAAATAACAAAATAGAATGCCAGCACTATCAATCTGTGTGGTGTGCCTGAGTGTTTTAACTGTCTCTGCACTTTATGAGTATCTGAAGTATTCTGAGCCTTTTACAATGTTCTAAGGCAGTGATTCTCAATCTATGGCTTGCAATCCCTTTTGGGGTGGAATAACCCTTTCTCAGGGGTCACCTAAGGGTATCAGAAAACACAGATATTTACATTATGGTTTCCAGCAGTAGCCAAATTACAGTTATGAAGTAGCAACAAAAATACGGCTGGAGGTCACCATAACACGAGAAACTGTATTAAAGGGTCGCACACAGTGCGGCGTTAGGCAGGCCGAGAGTCACTGGGCTAAGGGAATAAAGGACAGTTTTACATCCGTACCCTGGACCTCCACAATACTGGGTTCAGCTCAAACTATCTTAGTGATCCAGAGGGAAAAGGCTCAAGGATCTTACAGCAGAGTGTCTCAGTGATGTAAGATTCTAAAAGAGAACAGTTTTCAAAAATAAGACCTAAAAAAACCTGACAGGCAGAGTGGCGTTCCAGGAAAACAACTACAGAGCAAAGGAGAGGAAAGAATAGCAACTGTCAGCAAGTACCAGAGAGGGTGAGGACTGGGAAGGAGGTGGGGAGGGGACGTGAGGAGGTGGGGGGGAAGCTGGGGGGGGTGAGGAGAAAGGGGGGGGAGACAGGAGGTGGGGAGACAGGAGGTGGGGACAGGGGGAGGGGAGGACAGGGAGAGGGAGGTGAGGACAGATGGGGGCGGGGGGGACAGGAAGGGGGAAACAGGAGTGGGGGTCCAGGGATAGAAGTGGGATGGGGGGAGAGTGGGGAGATGAAGGGGAGAAGGGGGGCAGACAGGAGGAATTACTGTCTGAATGCCATCATACCATCTGCTAGGGAATGTGTGTTTGTGTCCCCTCCCAACTTCGAGTTAAAACTCAAGCCCCCGATGTGAGGTGTGATTTGGATCGCCTCTGGGGAGGCAACTGAGGTTAGATGGTCACAAGGGTAGACCATGATATCATCAAGGTCCTTGTAAATAGACACAAAAGTCTCTGTCCATCATGAGGACAAAACCAGCCCAAGTATCAGTGCCTGACTTTAGGGACTTCTGTCATATTGCCAGGAGCATTTCAGATTCCTGTTCTCCATAGTTCCTCTGCAACCAAGCAAACCAACAATGCACTCTTCTGACACCAAAGGGCAGGTAAGTGAGGCAAACTTCTGGATTGGTCCCCAGTAACCCCTGCTCTGGGAGTTCCTATTGGTGTGATCCCCATGAGTACAGCAGACTGAAAGCACCCCCTGTTACCCTTCCCTTGCAGCCTCTCTCTTCTCTTCTCCCTTTCTTACTTTGATGATGCCAAGCAGCAAGCTATGAAGTACTCTGGGAATGACAAGAGACCAAGGATGGCCCTCCAGCTAATAGCCAAGACGAACTGAGGGAGGCCTGGAAGAACCAATTTAGTCAACAACCACATGAGTGAGCTAGAAACTGGGCCCTTCCATCAAACGCTCAGGTGACTGTCTCTCGTGAGACCCTGAGCTAGGCCTAACCTCCAACCCACGGGAACTAGACAATAAATATATGCATTGTTCTTAGTGCCAAGTTTGGGGATAGTTTGTTCTAGAGCAATAGATAAACACATTACTTTGGTCTAGGCACATGACTCTGGGGAGAGTGACTTTGTCTCCTATGAAAGAGGCCCTAGTTTCAATCCCCAACACTGAAAAAAATAAAAATCCCTGTCTCAAGCAAATATAATGGAGGCAGATCCAACTTTACTAGTTCAGGTGAGAGTTGACTAACAGCATGGATAAATTCTGAGAAATGCAAAGCCAGGCAATTTCATCACAGGGCAAACATCATGGAGTAGAATTCCAAACAGACGGCTAAGCCTGTAGGTGATACCACCTCAGGATCACCTTCTTCTGTGAAGCCTACCATTGATCACAACATCAGGATGGCATGAATGACCAGATCTATTTTCACTCTTTCAAAGACCCTATCTATAAACTCGTCATCTGCGGTAGACATGAAAGACAACGGGCAAGTAGAATTCAGTACCATCCCTCAGAGTGGTACAGCCCTCATATTAAATGAAGATCAGATACAAAGTTACACAATCTAGTCACAACAGACAAACCTGCAGAGGCAAAGAAGCTCTGTGGCTGGGGGACTGGGCAGAATCGGAGAGTGAGTGCTAACGGGAAGATAAAAATATAATAAGCTCGACTGAACTCAGTAATACCCAAAATACAACTAAATTTTCACAGTTAATGGCTGAGTTGCATGTACTCTGACAACACTTA